TGTCTAATCAAAGTAGCTGTGAGGAAAAAAACAGGACGTATCTTTAAAGTTTATGATTGTTGTACAAAGAAATTCAGTTTTTTTAGTATGGTTAACATGAGAGCAACAACCAGTTCAATCTGTGAATATTTTAGCGGTTCAGTGGAACACAGTAAGGATCTGTGGACTGCTTGATCCTCTTTATTCCATGTACCTGTCCAAAAGCATCGTGTTACCCTCTACTGTATCTTGTGCTGTGCCTCCAAGACAAGACATACCGACTGCTGAGTTACCTAACGCATGACCTGAGATCCTCCCCCTCTTCCTTCCTGTCCTCAGGCGCTGCTCTGTGCTCTGGGGACGCTGTAAAGGCAGCGTATTTAAAAAGGCGCAGCACAGCTACTGGATCCAAGTGACATCAGGTACTTGTAGGGCTGCAGGGGGATTTCATGACTGCACTGAGATCACACTTTTTCTGAACATGAAGCACTTCTACTGGCTTGAGGTGATCGTGATATAGGCCTTTATGAACGTCAGACAATGTTGCATAAGATCATTGGTTAATGGAAATCTGAAGAGCTCTCAGAGGGCTTTTTGTTATGAGGCTGAGGCTGTGACATGCTCACAAAGAACCAATTTTGCTCTCAGTGAGCTCACTTTCAGTCTTGCCTACGCTGCGAAAATATTCATTGTGTTGTTCTATATCGGCACTGAAAGCCCATCTTGGTGTAATTTAAGCCTTTAAACACCACATGTACCAAACAGCAGTATTACTTATTTGATATGAGGCTGTTTTGTCCAGATTTGATTTGACATCATATCTTTAATCTGCACATTTTTTTTCAAATAATCAATTTCTTTCATGCAAAAGAAAAATATGAAAGAGAAACCATCTCGCAATGGGTCCCAACAGTCAGACACTTGTTTGTGGATGTAACCTACTTACAGTATGCACTCACTGGACACTTTATTGGTTACACGTTTAACTGCTCCTTAATATAAATATCTAATCAGCAAATCACCTTTCAGTAATTCAAAGCAGTTAGTTATGTAGACACAATGAAGGTGACCCGCTAAGGTTTAAACTGAGCAGGGCTGGTCCCACACAACCATCTCTAGGGTTTAAAGAAAACAGTCTGAAACTGGAAAATATCCAGTAAGGGTTAAAATACCTTACTGGTGATTTCAGAGGAGAATGGACAGATTGCTTTGAACTGAGAGGAAGGCAAAGGTAACTAAAATAACCACACCTTACAACCGAGATACAGCCAACCAATCCTTTTATGATCACAATGTACATATCTTCTGATGTCTGCTTCTAGCAGGATTACAGAGCATGTCACAAAGCTCAGATCACTCTAAACTGGTTTCTTAAACATAACTTGAGTTCACTGTATTCAAATGTCCTCCGCAGTCACCAGATCCCAGTCTAATAGAGCACCTTTGGGTTGTGGTAGAACAGCAGATTTACATCATGGATGTGCAGCTGACCAATCTGCAGCTATTGTTTAATGCTATCATGACAATATGGACCAAAATCTGTGAGGAATGTTTCCAGCACCTTGTTGAACTTGTTCAGTAAAGAATTAAGGCTATATCTAATAAAGTGGCTGATGAGTGCAAGTGGTGGTTTCTGCCACAATAGCCTTATTTCCTTCAAGTTGTAAAACCCTAGCTGAGATGTGTTTCAGTAAGACTGATGCACATGTTCAAAACTTTCTTCATATTGAAAACACTTCACTTTGGGGATAACTTCCATCTCAGCTGTGTGAAAGCTGTTGGAGCAATTCCTCACGGAGATGCATCGACCGTTTTTCTAAATAAATTCGACTCTTTTAATGTCACTCGCACCTCCTCTGGTAATCAGTCGAATGTTTTATCCCATGTAATGAAGCAGGTGATGCCTCACGATGTCCTGACCCTCAGACTGGAAACTTTTACCCACCCACGCTGAACATCAGAAGCACAGAATACCCTCCCACTCACTACACAGAAATGAAAAATAAGCTAAAGGACCAATCCTGTCCTCTTGATTCAACCCACCTACATGTCCTCGGGTGTTTTTCTCATTTTACCTCTGCTTTTTCTATTTTCTGATTATTTGACGGCGAGCATCACACAGAGCCACTGTTTGCATAGATCCTTGTTTCCAGTAGCCGATGCCTGGCACCTCCTTCTGTAGCAGGTTGCGAAAGACAGCGGCGTAGGTGACCAGTCCACAGCCTGTTATGTGTCTCAGCTGAGTCACACTAAGAATTTATGACTGCAGTAGCCTAAGCTAACAGGGTGATCATCCTATCAAACAAAAATATTGTGTGTTTTTTTATTGTGTGTTTACGTATTGTTGTATCTGGAAGCAACAATGCATATCCAGCCCATCCCATCTGCTCCCTTACATTTACCTTGTGGCTCATTCTGACTCACACATTCAGAAATGAAAATTTACTGAATGTTGTCTAAACTCTCGGGGACCAGCGTCCTTTTTTATTGTGAAGTTGGATTTGTTTTACAGTCGATGGTGGATAATTAGAAGATTTTTTCGCACTGTTTGAATGCCTTCTTCTAAACTGCTAAAAGGCCTTGAGGCATTTTGGAGGAGGGGACAACAAAACAGCAGTGGGTGATTGCTTCATGTACATAAATGCATCTTCTCAAAGGAATGTCATTTGAGGCTCTAAAGCTGTTCAGGGCTTCCACTATGATGCATCAGTTGTGTAGTACAGCGGTGCAGAGAGTTATATTGGAGGTGACACCCGTCAGGCCTATAAATAGCTTTGCACTTTCCCCCCAGGAGCTCAGCTAGCGCTCTCCCAGGCATTTGATCACTTGTTTGTAGTGAACTGACATCACCCACTTCTGCCTTTTTCTCACTGACTTTCTGACTCCTGCATATAAACACACGCACACATACACACGTATACAAAACGCTGTAGCTTAATTATAGCTTGAATACAGTGCTCATGGAGAGCTTCATCAGCTGCTGTGATGATGATGATGCCTTTGAGGGCAGATGGTTTGCCTCAGGGTTTCCCTAAACTACGCTACTACACTTACTGATGACTCACCTAATCGCTTAAGACTCAACTACGACTGCTGCGAACAAAGCCGTGGGCACAGAGTAAAGTCAATTCTCAGATACAGCATCACTCTTTAATAAATAAACTGCTGCTCTTAATTGGAGGGGAAGGGGATTCGGGCACAAGCCTCATAACATGTGGGAGTATGAAGCGAGTGAAAACGAAAAAAGATACACAAAACCCCTGCAGGCTGTGTCTGACCCCGGTGAGTCACTGTCTACGCGAGCTTCTGCAGAACTGAGCATGACTCAGTAACAAGCACGAACATTAGTGAAGTGCACTTCTATTGCTGGCTACCTTACCTGGAGTTTTATCTCATTTATTGGAACACAGAGTGCCGCTTGTACGGTTTTTGCTTTTTGAAGTGCAATTCCCTTTTTCCTTTAGACAAAAATGCCTCACTGAGATGTTACAAAAACACCGAAAATTGCAGAATGTTGTGGAGACGGGGTGACCACGGCATGTCCCCTTGCACTTAATCAATTTACACTTTAAGAGTTTTTAAGGCAGAAACAACTTTGTTAATGGTTAGTAAACTACTATGGTTATTGACCAATTTATGGGCAATTATAAAGTCTGAATTCATATAAATACAGACTGGTATTTAACTAACAACATGATGTAAACTGATTAAAACTTAATTTGATTAACATTTTATTCTTGTTTAAATGATTAATAATGGTTGTGAACCCAAACTTCCCAAACGTCGTGCCGAGGTTTAAGGAAACCCCCTTGTACCTGGACATTAAGAAAGACTTATGGCTGTATATATAGCAAATGTTTCACTTACTAATGATTTAAAGCTCCACCTTCCAAAGTCATTAACATGAACAACTTCAGTGCGTCCAAAATAACTAGCTAAAATGGATTATAACACTATCTGCATCCATTGAAAGGTTTGCGAACTGGCAGAAGGCTGACAGAAGGGGAAGAACTCATTTTCTTAATTAAAGACCTATTGCTTCTGTGGCCGATTAGAAGTCAGTAGATCCAGGATTATTTAACTTTGAGTTACATACGTTATTAACAAGATTATTGCCAAATTAATAAAAGGATATAACCACATGGACTCCCGAGAGACAGCTGGTGTTTGATCTGCAAAGCAAGGGCATTTCAGTGAGTCTTTCCAAGTCGGTGGGAGAGTGGGACCAAAAACACAGCAGGTTTAAACAAAAATAAAAAACACAGTTTTCAGGCTCAGTTAGAGGTTTGATTGTGTGAAAATTGGTGCTGTATAAGAATTTACACATATCTTTATTTTGGATTTTTTTAAAAAAAACAAATGACAAAAGTAAACGTTAATTTTTCTTATTCTGTGTAGCTTAACAGTCCACGGGTTGTGTAATCAAAATATATTTAAAATATATTTAAAGTGTCTAAAGTAAGTGCAGGCATTATGTGATGCATGATATTGTATGTAGGCCTACTATATGCATGACGGTACTATGTCTGATGATTAATATGTGTATATTTTCTCTCTTGAATTTTGCACCTATTGATGTTTTTAAGTACTTATGAACTGCTGGTTAGCTTGAGCTGTCATACAAACAAGTAACTATTTTAAAATTAATAGTATGGAATACAAAGTGCAATAACTGCATCTTATAACATAGAAAAGAAAACTTTGTACTGTGGAGTAAAAGCAAAAAGCCGCATAACATGAACATATTAAACATATTAAGATAAAATTGTGTAAAGAAAATGATATTTTACTGTTACTGCAGCAATTCGTGGCAAATAATTGTATCTTCGTATATTTAAATCAAATTTTAGGCGAAAATCCCGTTAAAAAGTGACATTCTAACAGTCCTTCCTTCAAACTATTTGTTTATTTGCATTGCATCTACAGAAAATATGACACGCCAAATCTACGCGCGTAATAAATAATTCATATGAGCAAAAGGGGGGCGTGTGCACCTTGTGCCATTTGATGACGGCTGAGCCGTTTCCCATTATTCAGAAACACATGCCGGAGTTTATCTGCGCCCTTTGCCTCCACATCCACGCTGATTGGGAGCAAAGGGCGATCAGTGCAAAACTCGACGGTGAATAACTGAAGCGTGACGACTTGTGTTTGTGCTCAAGTTTGCTCAAGGTGAGCCGAACGAGGCATCGACAAAACATGTAGGAAACGAGGTGAAGCTTGGGTTCATTTTTTCTGTGAACAGGTTTTTGTTCAGTCATTCATCAACTTGCTTTTCTCGGTGCCCCACAGATCGCTCTCTGCCTGATGGCTGTTCCGTTGGCGTGTTGTTCAAACTGTCGTGGCTGCTGAAAGACGTGACCCCCGCGCATCGCAGAGCGCCACACGCGCACCTGTCGGATGTAAGTGGGAAGCGGTCGGTGAGCTTATAGAGCGAGAGGGGCAGAGAGAGATGGTGACTGCTGGGTTCAGCACGCTGGATAGCGCTCGAGGAATTTGGAAAGTACGGCGGCGGCGGCGCGCGGACGCACGAGGATCTAAGTGAAACGAGTGCGTGGAGCCGCCGGAGAAATGAGCGACCATGGTGGATTTGAAGTTCTCGTTTGCAACAACAGGCGCAGGTAACGTGCGAGTGGACTTTCTGGAGTGAGACATGGACTTTGCTGAAATCATTTTCGCTTTGTTCATCGTCGTGGTCGCGATCGTCTCGCTGTTGTCCAACTTGTTGGTGCTGCTATGTTTCGTCCACAGCACCGAGATACGCCGACAGGTGCCCGGTGTTTTCACCATGAACTTGTCTTTCTGCAACATACTCATCACTGTTTTGAACATGCCGGCCACTCTGGTGGGGATTATCAGAAAGCAGCAGCCCTTTGGAGATTGCGTTTGCCACACGGTGAGCTTTCTGGAGACTTTTCTCACCGCAAACACCATGCTGAGCATGGCGGCTCTCAGCATAGATCGGTGGATAGCGGTCGTCTTCCCGCTCAGTTACTCCACCAAAATGCGCTACAAGGACGCACTGATCATGGTGTGCTACTCCTGGCTGCACTCCTTTACCTTCTCCCTGACGGCGCTGCTCTTCTCCTGGGTCGACTACAGCGACGTTTACGCGTCCTGCACCTTGCAGCCGAGCGAGGAAGGCAGCGACAGGATTAAGTTTACAATCTTCACTATCGTTTTCCACGCCACCAGTTTCATTCTGTCCCTGCTCATCTTGTGTTTCACCTATTTGAAGGTGTTGAAGGTCGCTAGGTTTCACTGCAAGAGGATTGACATTATCACCATGCAGACTCTGTTCCTGCTAGTCGATATTCACCCAAGGTAGTTCACCTCGTGTATTGTGAGCATGATTTCTCCCGGTCTGTTTTGACAGTGGCCTTGTGGCAAAAAAGTCTAAATGTTCTTTGCTGTTTTCAGCGTGAAACAAAGATGCTTAGCAGAGCAAAAGAGGAGAAAGCAGAGAGCCACGAAGAAGATCAGCATCTTCATCGGCTCATTTATCATCTGCTTTGCTCCTTATGTAATCACAAGGTGAGTCAACTCATACATAATTCAACTTACTGCAAAACAACTGCTTAAGAAATAACTGACCCCACACATTTGTAAAATAATACATCTTCGACGGCATTTGACTAAGTAAAAAACATTTAGCCAGCATGTTGAGATCTGCATCCACGCTGATCAGCTTTGCAGACCTGTTTTCTTCACATGATAATGCAGTACAAACTCACAATGTCCGATCAGATACAAACAAACAGTTTATTCCAAGCTGACAGCACACCGCTCATAATTTCAATGATCATTTCCTTAAACTGTGATGTGGCTCATTAGCCACCTGTGCTGCGCTGTACATAAACATGGCAGGCTACTTCCAGTGAAAGACACGCATTAGAGTCTAGGACAATAGATACAGTTCAAACAACCAAAGAGGCTCCCAGAGAAGCGTGGAAATGCTTTAGTGGGCCACAAATCGCCCAGATGCGGTGCTGATGATCCATCAATTTGACATTTGTGGTGTGCTCATATATGGAAGGGAAGAAGGAGGACAAATTAGCAAAGAGCAGCATTTGAGGTGGAGTAACCCCCCACTGACCGTGCCTGCCCACAGGAAGTGTCTAGTGTGGCAGTTGGCACCTAAGCATCCAATTATGATAATTCATACGCATATTTTATCTTTTGTACTTGTAAAGTAGTCTTTGCCTCTGTGGTATTTTGATGGTCCTGTTTGATTTCACTGTTCCACATCCCCCCTGACCAGAAGAATACAGGAGACTGTGTTAGAAATGTGGAGAGGCGCTCAGCTGTGTGGTTTAAGTTGAAAAAGGCAAAACCCTACGCTGTGTTTCAAATACTTTAACTGATAATATAGTAAGTAAGTAAGTAAATAAATAAATAAGAAAATGTAATCTCCACTGGACAGAAAAAACAAAAGAAAAAACTTCTTTATTGGATAATTTGAAGCGCCTTAATAAAATCTACACAATATCTATGGTCATATGTAATGCCTTTAAAAATGATAATTTCTCCACCTTTTTTAATGTTTTGATTTGATGTTAACGTGGCACTGAAAATGCTTTAGCATTTAATTCAGTAACCAACATAAAGATGTGGAAACTATCTAAATATCTGTGCAGGTTCTCAGCAATCCGGGTCATAGTAGTCTAAGAAGCTTGAAAAGAAGGTGATGGGACTTGTTTAACTGAAGAAGATTCTTAGATGAGACCAGATATCTTCTTTTTTAAGCTCCTTAGACAAATATCTAACCCCTTTTTAAAAAAAAAACAAAAAAAAAAACATGTGTCAAATGAGACCATGTTTTGAAATCTATCTGTTCATTTTTAATTTGATGGGATCAATATGTTTAAAAAAAACATTAACTGGTGAGACAAGGACACATCTGTCCCTTTGCCTTCTTCAGAGTTTCTTCTACATGCTGAAGTTTTCAAATGTATTTCTTCACCTGCTCAGCAGAGTATCCTTGATCAAGTCTCTCCTGTGAGAGTTAAACCTCACAATTCCTTAAACACGATGAGAGTCTTCATGGCCTTTTTTGGGTATCTATCTATATTTTGCTTTTGTTTACTGGCCTCTTCAGCCAAAAAAGCTGAATTTTAGGTTATTAGAAAGTACCTTATCTAAAATATAAAAATGCATTCAGTAGAGGACAGCTTAACAACTGGGGCAATTGGGAGGTTATTCTTGGTATAATATGACAAATACGCCACAGTAAATAAGCCTACTGACGTTTTCTTTCTTGACTTAGGAAACTTAGTTCTGTCAAAATTTATAGTAACATTAACATTTTGGCTTTTTTTTTAAAAACTTTAATCATAAAAATAAAGGTTGGTTGGTCTGTAGCATAGCCAATCTATCATCAGGACCCCCTTACTGCAGAGTCATACTGTTAGATTACACACACAACACAATTTTGGTGTTGTCTTGGTGTTATAATAGGTTACACTTTCCCTGAAAAGGACATTGTCTGTGTGGCAGCATATGTCACTTCGAAACCTGCATACATTATTCAGCATTAATGGGTTATCATAAATGTGTATAGTACTCATGTAGCGTGCACTAATGCACCTTCACACTGTCAGAGACAACAGCTTTTGAAGTGCGTTTTGATAACAGAAAGCAATGATCCTGTCATAGTTCTGAGACCTTAAAGACACAAATATACATAAACTGAGGCTCAGCGGAAGGAGAGGGCTATTTATACACATGGGGTAAACAGGGACGTGGAAACAGCTGGATGAAATGAAACAGGTGAAAACAATCAAGACAACCAGAGGGAGGGAGTAAAGTTCAGATACAGGAGACATGTTTCAAAGAAAAAAGAAAGAAATAGCAAAAGCTCCAACCAAAAACAGGAACAAAAAATACAATAACAAAAAATCTGAATCGGATTTTACAGGGAAAATTCAAATCTAGATACTTTTACTAAGCAAACTGAAAACAGGGCCAAGGCCAGGGACCACAGCAGGTCTTCTTTAATCCAGAGGACACAGCATCTGTGATTTAAAAAAAAAAGTCAGCTTTAATTGAAATAAAACAAGAAAAATGATCAGTTTCATCAGCTAATATTTTGTCTGTGTGCTGTTTTTTAGTTAAAAATAGCTTTTGATTATTATTTTTTGTTAATGTTTCACACAGCCTCCCAACTTTGGTTGAAATGGAGTTCTTTGTTTGGTTTGTTTTTCATTTAGGCATTTAAAAATCTGCCACACAGTTCCTTTTGATCATTAATAACACGAGTGGTCTGAACATACAAATCTGAGGTGAAAAAATGATAAAAGATCTTCTTCTTTTGAAAGGGCAGAGTTCTAAAAAAAATTTCACCATGTTACACCTACCTTTGCAAAAGAAAAAGAAAAAGAGCACACAATTGCATTTCCAAGCCTCTTTTATGATCATTATAGAGTACCTAACGTGTTAAAGGTTTTATGGTCAGTCTTACCTAATCATCTGACATGACATCAGGACAAATCTCTGAGCGGCAGCTTCACTAAAATGCACTCTGTTTAGTCATGTTTCTCCTGACGCCCCTTCAGGTTGGCTGAGCTTCTCCCGTTCGTGGACGTCAACCGCCACTGGGGAATCATCAGTAAGTGCCTGACATATAGCAAGGCTGCGTCTGACCCCTTTGCCTACTCTCTCCTACGTCAGCAGTACAAGAAAGTCCTGGTCACCGTCGTCAACAGGCTACTCCGACGTGACCTGTACCCTTCGTCTGGCCATAACAGCTCTTTAGACACAGAGAACGACTACTGTCTCCAGAGGATCAGTTAATGGCAAATGCAGGACGTGACATATGCACACGCTACAGTGCAGGCCAAAAATAAAGGTTGCCTCTTGCAGAAAAAAAAGGTGGGTGGAGAGAAAAAAAGAACAGGAGAGAGAAAGAGAGGACAGGTTATTGTTAGAAAGAGAAAAGAGAGTCGAAAGATGGGACAAGGAAGTGGGTGGAAGGTGAAGAAGAGAGCAAAAAAAAAAAAAACCATAAGGAAGACGGTGGGCGGACAGGAATGAAAAGGTGGCGATGTGGGGGAGGATGAATGGGCAAAAAGATAAAGAAGAGATGGGTAAGACGACAGATAGGGTGGAGACGTTGGGGAGTGACGGCAAACAAGGGATCTGTGATTCATCAGGAACAGCATTCCCCAGAAACCACACAGCCAGTCTATTTCACTGAATAAGTCATTGGCTCATCTAAAGCTGAGGGGACGCACAGCTGGAGATGAGTTCCCTTCTTCACTCTGAGCGACATGTAAAAGGTGGCCTTCCTCTACTCCAACAACTTTAGAATCATTTCAAACCTGTTCTTGCCCCACTTAACATCGCACACACGGAGGCTGGTGGTCGATAAGCAGCCGAGCGACGACGGGCAAAGAGGGAAAGACTTTTGTTGCTCCTGCTTCTGTATAATGTCCTGTCAGTGAATGGATGCAGACTTAAATGTGGAGGCTCAGCTGCTGCACATTATTGCCATGTTCTGTATTGACTGTGTTAGACTACTTTGCAGTGTCATGTCAGTCACTTAATATTGATGCACTTTGTCTAATTCTCTCAGAGATGCTATACCTAAAGGAGCCAAAGGCATTTGACATTTACACCCTAATCTTAAAGGATGAGTCTGGTGAGAGGCTTTATTCTTTGTTACTGTCACCAAAATCAATTAGTTGGTCGGTTTCTCAGTATTTTCCAACTTCCCAAGCATCCCTGTTCTTTGAATTTCTCAAGTATAGACAGCAATTAATGTGCATGTTTAGACTATTTCCATTAATACACAGGTCAGTCTTTAAAAGCTTTATTTATTTATTTTTTTTAAAATTGAAAGTTATATTTTGTATACATCACACGTACAATGAAATATGCCAAGGCTTTGTTTGTTTTAGTTTTTCTAATTATGTTTTATAGCTCATGAAAATCACACATCCAGTACAACATTCAGTAACGTCAATCATAGAATTATTTATGATGGAGAGATGCCCGACTTTTTAAAAGTATGCAGAGGTGATCTGTGGCTCTGCTGAGGTTGTTATTGAAGCGGGGCAGGTGCAGGAAAAAGAAAGCAGGATCTCCATGAGGCTCGCCAGCAGATGAAAGCTTGATGCGCTCTGAAACCTCCTGGTAGATGCTCCTTTTACTTTGGACTTCATAAAACACAGTGGACCAACCGTTAATAACAGCAACCCAGTTCATCAAGGACTGCAGAAGCTTCACACTGGACTTTAAACACTCCGCTCCACTCTCCTGCAGGCACTAGGACTGAGACTTTCAAATAACATATAAAATTTTGGGACATTTCCTTCCCAGGTAAGATACTTCTGACATCTCTGGTTCAGAAGTGGCTTGATATTAGGAATCAAAGTGGTAAATGCTAATGGACTGGTTCTTGTACAGCACTATTCTACTCGACTTGAACACTCAAAGCTCTCTGATCTAACATGCCTAATTCAACCATTCATACAAGCGCTTTTTTTCTACACCTAAGTGCTTTCTGTGTAACATTCACATACATTCACACTCTGATGGATACATTGGAGAGCAACTTGGGGTTCAGTATTTTGCCCAAGGATACTTGCACACTTGCACACAGACCAGAGCAGCCAAGGATCAAATCACTAACCTTCTGGCCACGGCCAGCTGACATTTGCACGCGGTGGCCCTTGATGCCAAGTCACCAGCCTCAGTCCACTTCTTGTGAAGCTCTTGAATTCTTGAATCGACTTTTTGGCAGTCCTCTAAAGGCTACAATTATTCCTGCTGCTCATGCACTTATCCTACCACACGTTTCCCTTCAAGTCAACTGTCCATTAATATGCTTCAATTCAGCTCTCAGTGAAAACAGCCAGTCTTTTCAGTTGAGACTGTCGGTGGTTCACTCTGTTTGTGGAGGGTGTTGGTGACATCTGGACAGTCGTCAAGTCAGCAGTCTTCCTGTTGATCGTGGTTACGAGGCCTTAAATAGACTCAGAGAAATACAGTATTTATGACGTGTGAATAGTAATTTACTCAAACTGAGAATGAAATCATAAGATAACGAGATACCGGATTTCTGATTTTCATGACCTATCATCAAAGTTACAGAAAAAACAATTGTCATTGCATGCAATGAATACAATGAATGCAATGAATATTTCAATTAAATTGAAAATAAATGAACCTTTTCACAATATTGCAGCTGTCAGGACACACTTGTAGACGGCAGAAAGAAGATAAAAAAAAAAACTACTTGACCACAAAGCATCCATCACTGAATACTTGGCTTTCTTGGTTTTCCCAAATTTTATGTTAGTGTGCATTTGAGTCATTATCTAATTAAATAAGCACCAGTCTGCAGGTTGAATAAAGCTAGGTCGTGTGGGCATATCGCCAGTCCATAATTTTATAATGCCATTTTAGCTTGGAGAGTTAATAAGAGGAGGGAGAACACTTTTTATTTTTTTCATTTTGTGGATTTGTTGACAGTAAGAAAAAATATGGCAAATTACCAGATTTATACTTTTAAGTTAGAGTTTTTAACTGAATGTACCTGATCGCCCACTTTTAACTGAAACGCGTTTGTATAATTGTGTTTTGTTTTGCCAGCTGACTGCAGAAGTCGTTTCTATGGATATTTACATAATGATATTACATATTTTGCACTGTACAGGAACAACTTTTTGTCTAGATAAATGGGGAGCAACGTGATGTAGCATAGGAGTGTTTTCAAAGTGCTTTAAAACACACTGCTCTGTGTTTGTGCCAGATTTAAATATGTGATTTTTTTTCCAGCTGTTCCACACGAGAACCAGAATAGCTGCTTTATTATAATAACAGTTATTATTATTACTAAAATAAAAATCTGGTTATTTGGATGTATTTTACTCACATGTATTTTTTCCTCCTGTTAGCCACTTGCTGTTCTTTGGCAGTGTGATTAGCTATTAGTGGAATATGTGCAATAATAAAAAGCTGTCAATTATAAAATATGAATATGAATGTTTTCACTGCAACGTTGCTGAACGTACACAAATGTCCTTTAATTACATCATATTTCATCTCCAGATTTGATTTGCCAGTTTTTATATTGAATTCAGCCCATGGACACGACAGGCCGGCACACTGAAAGACAAATAGCATGTCTTTTATTTAAATTTGGACTCATTAATTTCAGATTTTACAGTCTTAAATAAATAAAGATGAAACAGATGCATTTGAAGAGGCTTACACGGGGAAGTTATTCTCTGAATAATAAAAAGCTTTCCGGGTCGCACCTGTTTCTGCCTCACAGCCTTGATTGTGGCGCAGATAGCATGCAACACAAAAAATGACTCTGGTGTCACATGGAGAACTTCTCTTGCAATATCGGCAAGTATAATTAAAGAGAGGAGTTCATCTTTGTCAATTAATATATTCAAACTCAGTAATGAATCTCTTTTAATCTGATGCGTGGAAACAGACCAGCAGTAATTACTGGCAACATTAAAATTAGAAATCCCCATTTTTGGTGGCTCGCTCAACCACCGGCACCTCTGAATTCACAGGCAGTTAACGCTTAAAGCAGCTCAGGCTTGTGCAGAAGCTAGAGCTCGGCTATTTTTGCACCTCTTAATTAACCCCAATCACCAGAACCTGATAAAAGAGAAACTGGTAATTAAAACTGCTCAAATGGAAAATGTATGCATGGCACAATATGTGTCACAGCTGCTCGAGTTTAAAAGTACGGAATCGACTGAGCGGGTTTGCAGACTGTCGGGCCTCTCTTGAAAATATGCTTTCTACATGGCTATTAATACATGACTCCTCTCACACTCTAGAGCAGCCTGAGGAGGATTTAAAGACAGCAGCATTGTCTGCATCAGTGGTAAATATCTTAACCTCCTTCCACACTTCAGTCCACCTACATATGGTGATAAAGTAGATGAAATGATAAGCTTGTAATTAAAATAAGGAAGAAAAAAATCCAAGATAAACTGAATTAGAAGAGTCTGAGTTCCATATAAGCAGCTTGTTTTCTGTTATTATTATAGAGTGTTGATGGAGAAGGAAGGAGAAGGTCAGGAGGTCATAGGAGAGGGCGCCACGAGAGGAACTGTGGTGCTGCATGAGGAAGTCAGGAGCGGCAGAGAGATGTATGAGGACAGTGAGGCAGGGTTGAGGCGTGCAGCAGGCGTGATAGATGGGTTCAATGTGGGAGTGGGACTACATCGGCTGTGAACATCTTCTTGTTCGCAAAGGTCAGGCAGGAGTCTTTGTGGGCTATGATGTTTGCAGAAGACTTTGTGGTGTGTAGGGAGAGCGGGGAACAGGTGGAGGAGAGCCTGGAGAGGTGGAGGTATGCTCTGAAGAGAAGAGGAACGAAAGATAGAATATATGTGTGGGAATAAGAGGGACAGTGAAGCTGCAGGGAGCAGAGGTAGTGAAGGTGGTGAACCATCCACACCGCACAAGAGAGGTGAAGATAAGAGTGCAGGCAGGGTGGAGTGGGTGGGGATGAGTGTCAGGGGTGATTTGTGAGAGAAGGATAACAGCAAGAGTGAAAGGGAAGGTTTACAAGATGGTAGTGAGACCTGCTGTGATGTATGGTTTGGAGGCGGTGGCACTGACAGAAGGAGGCCGAGCTGAAGATGCTCAGATTTTCATTGGGAGTGAGCACGCACATATATTTGTATGTATATATGTATATATATATATCTCTCTCTATATATATATACATATATACATATATATAGTTTGTTCATTAAAAGCTGTTCTAAACACTTTAAAACACTTGTCCGTTGCTACAGATCCACCCCTTTTTTTCTCCAGCAGTTTCCCACAGAGACACTTGATCAAAATCACAATTTACAAGTTTGTGCGTGTTTTCTGTAGAGGGTCACGTCTCCCACGAGGCTCCTTTTCCATTCAGTTTCTGGGGCATGTAGTAATTTGCATAATACATGAACGTGTTAAGGATCTAATCAATATTCCTGGTTTAGCTGAAGGATGTAGTAGTATTTTTGCTTTACCTCCACACCATCCTCCACCTGCCTGCATGATGAATACCCAGGCTTCCGGTTATGCAAATTCAACTCTGCCCAGCTTGAAGAAGAAAGGACTCTAATACTGGCTCAATAAGAAAAACAGATCACCTTCAAAATGGTATTTACTACTAATAATATTTTTTTGTCTAATAATGATTAAGATTTCTGCAGTATTTTATGTGATTTAGCCTTCTGAACATCACCGTAAAAGCTGCTACGCATCCACTTTGATTGACTGGAAGCAAATTAAGTCTCAGGTTTTGCACTATCATGGCAGCAAGTTTGAGGATTATAAATTGTAAATGTTTCTTGGTTGCTAGGTTTATTTAATCACAGCCAACTGGTTGTTGCTCCAACCTTGTGAGTTGGACTCAGGCTTACAAATATTCTTAAAAAGTCTTAAAAAGCTTAATTTAAAATGACATGTTGTCCAAAGCAAAACTGACACCAAAGAGAGAAGGCAAGAATAGATCAAAAGATATTAAGTACTCTAAGTATTTGCCAGATGTACAGCTACATCAGGTGTGTTATCAGGTGTGCTGGCCACTTTGTTAGGTACAACACGTCACCTGCCCATTAATGCAAATGTCCAATCAGCCAGTCACATGGCAGCAATTTGATGCATTTAGGTATGTAGACACCGTCTACAGTCTGAAGTTCAAACTGAGTATCAGAATAAAAAGGAAAGGTGACTTTGAATGCAGCATGGCTGTTGGTGTTACATTGTCTGTGTATTTCAGAACCTGCTGATCTGCTGGATTTTCACACACATCCATCTCTGGGGTTTACAGAGACTGTTCTGAAAAAGAGAAAATATCCAATAAGCAGCAGTTCTCTGGATTAAAATGCCTTGTTGATGTCA